AACATATTTTGGGGGAAATACAATATAAAATTTGGCCAGGCACATTTTATATTTTATGTTTTTTTTTTTTAAAGTTAAACTCAACAATTAAATAGAAAGTGTGCACTACAATTTACAGAAAAATATCATATTTAAACGTGTTCTCTGTAGAGGATGTATTAACTTATCTCCGCTCAGAAATCAACAAAACATAATTTGACCGGGGTGCCAAAACTTTTGCACCTATGACTGTTTCACAGAAAGTGGGTGGCGTAAGAGACTAAAGTAAATGCAAGAGAAATATAGGATACGGCCCCTTTAATACATTAAAGAGCTCATTACAATCACAATATGCAGCAATATGTGCACAATGTGTAGCAGTACAATCGCAGTATGGTAATTTGTCCTTCTTGTGCTGCTCTTGTGTGTTGGTAAATATAAAATGAGTTGTATTTTAAGTGCTTGTCTTCAGTTGGCATCATTTAAGCTCAGCATGGCCTCCTTCTTTCCTTCCAGTTCTCCCGCCTGAAGGAAGATTACAGTTCAGTTATCACACTCTGCTATAGGCTAGGCAGCAACACCAAGCCTATAACAAAAATAGACGCTACGTACAGTACCAGAAACATCCAGCATGCACTGAGGTTAGTGAATTCAAATGAATGCGTTTCCCCAGTCCAGTCATTTATATTCCACACAGTCTTTGAATTAACCTTTATTTACCATTACATAATAGTCCATAATGTGCCATCTCCCTCTGACTCATGTTTCAAAGAACAACTCTGTGAGGGCTTTCTAGGAGCTGTGGAACTCGCATTCATGCTTTCTTTCTTTCCTTTCTTCCTTCACTAAGCGCACTAGTGAGAGATTTACTAGAGATTCTAATTGGAGCAAATTCTGATCTTATGCTAAATCAATAACTAGAAACGGAACTGAATGTCAAACCTCCTTGTGTGAAATGTTCCAAACGGTTAAGATTAGGGGCTGGGTGGGTTTAGCGAATGAAGCTTTTGTTATGCCTTCATTGATATTCATATCCAACAAAATTGCTCTGGCTTATTGTAATTCCTATGAATTCATCCTGAGATTGGGTTCTCTGGGAAGGTTACTTGCTATACTTGCTACGACTTGTGTTTTATTACAGCACCAATAAAATTGAATGTGATGTATTTAAAGAGCCCATATCATGGAAAAGTACATTTTTGTCATCTTTACTTTTTGAAATAAACAAGGAAGTATGTAAATACTGAGTGCGTATTCCTGCACTCAATAATCCAATCATAATTGGAATTCTGCAGTTATCTGATTATTTAAATGGTCATGTAAACAGCACACTCTGATTCTTTGTTCGGAATAAGGTCTAGAAATTTCATCAAGAAATCTGAAAAAAGAGAGCTGGATTTTAGCTCAGTAATCAGGTTTTTTAGTGCATGTAAACTCTTACTCTGATTTCTTTCGGATTTCTCAGTCTGTACATGTGCGAAAACAGACCGCGGTACCGGAAATAAGCAAGCAGCACCCACGAGATGGTGACAAAACACTTTTGAAGTGACGCTGAAACTACATGCGTGATGAAATGAAGGATTTAAATATTCTGTTCTAGATGATGTACGTTCATATTTTCGGATAAAGTGGCGCAATGTTAAAAAAAAAGCTGCGGCATGCGATTTTACATTACGTTACATCACATTGTCTTCTGAGAGTTTATTGGCTGGTTGCAAATCAGAAATCCGATTACTGTCTGACTCATGTAGGCCTGGAGTTTTTACAGTATCTGATTACTCAAGTGTATGCAAACGTGTTGATCCAATTACTGACAAAAACTGATTTTCTGCAGTCAGGTCTGTAAACATGCTCATTGTTAAAGTTTCAAAACATACTATTCACTCCCCAATCCATACTGTCCATATATGGAAATTAAGCTGCAAAAATAGCTTGTGTTGAATTCACTGTTTTTGTGATGTCACAAAAGCCAACACATTTACATACATCCAGCCATTCAGCTGAAGTTATAAGGAGTGTTTCAGCCTGGACTGCTTCTCAGAACAGAGCATTTACAGTCTTAAAGGCACAGTAACCAAAACAGCCTGTTTAATGCTATTTATTAAAAGACGTTGGAAAATGGTTATTAATTATGAAAATGAATTATGGCTATACTCTTAACACCCTTATGGCTAACTCTCAAAACAGGCCAGTATCTTGTAGGCCAAAGTGAAAAAACACACATCAGCTGTTTCTTTTTTTTTTTCTGCAAGTTCCTGTTATATTGCATTGCAAATTGCTGTTTGACATTATTTTTCATCTGAAGCCTTGTTGGAGGGGAATTCCACCAATTTTTTAAAATGTCTTTCTAACTCTATCATTGAGGTCTAAACAAGGCATTTACTGTTTAACTTGCTTATTCCAGTTTCAGCTAATGCTTGAATGAATGTCATACTTAATATAATGAAATACAGTTCAATTCAATTTCAGAGAAACTTAGATTTGCAGCTTTGATTTCTTTACAGTGGTGGTGAGAGGAACCGGGGTCACAGTGTCTACAACACAAATATATATGCTATTCAAAATCACCAATGAACCTTCTGAGTTTTTCTATGTAAAACTGATGGTAAATTAGTGGTAAAAAAAGTTTTCTTTGGGGACTGTTTTGCCACGTAATACCCTGCGTGTACCTCTCCGCCATGAATGGATTTAAAATTATGTTTTAAGAAAACAATCATAAAACAATGTGTCAGACAGGTGTGGTGTGAAATTCTTCATTCAAGAGAAACTTGCCAAGTCAGAATTGTTGACAGTGGTGGTGATAGGAACCAGACGTCTGAAGAGTTTAAGGCCTCTGAAAGTTTCTCTGATGTCAGACGCATTATTTTATGATAGTTTTGTGACAAAGTTTCGGCTTAAAATGTATTTTAATAAACTTATTTTAATCCATTCTTGGTATAGGGGTACAAGGAGAGATATTTTTCAGATATATCACCATTTTACCATCATCAACAATGCATATAAAAACTAAGAAGACACATGGAGGTTAATTTGCGGTTTTGGATAGTAAATAAAATGACTATATTTGTGTTGTGGATACCATAACCCCTGGTTCCTATCACCACTACTGTAAAGAAATTTGAGTCTATAAGTTGCTCCACAGTGAACCATTTCATATCATACTCCGAATGACTGTTTACATCTCAAGAACTGAATTATTCAGACATTTTGAAAATCTGGTGGAATTCTACTTTAAAAGCTTCAGATGTCTGGTTCCCATCACCACCACTGTGAACAATACTGACTCGGTAAGTTTCTCTCAAAGGAAGCATTTCACATCAAACCACTCCAAATGACTTTGTTTATAAATTAACAATGTAATTATGCAGAAAATGTTGAAAATGTGGTGTAATTATACTTTAATACAAAATACAGTGACCCAATATACACCGATCAGGCATAACATTATGACCACCTCCTTGTTTCACTTACTATATAGGAGCACTTTGTAGTTCTACAATTACAGACTGTAGTCCATCTGTTTCTCTGCATGCTTTGTTAGCCCCCTTTTACCCTGTTCTTCGGTGGTTAGGACCCCCATGGACCCTCACAGAGCAGGTACTATTTGGGTGGTGGATCATTCTCAGCACTGCAGTAACACTGATGTGTTGGTGGTATGTTAGTGTGTGTTGCGCTGGTCTGAGTGGATCAGACACAGCAGTGCTGCTGGAGTTTTTAAACACCTCAGTGTCACTGCTGGACTGAGAACAGTCCACCAACCAAAAATATCCAGCCAACAGCGTCCTGTGGGCAGCATCCTGTGACCACTGATGAAGGACTAGAGGATGACCAACACAAACTGTGCAGCAGCAGATGAGCTATCGTCTCTGACTTTACATCTACAAGGTGGACTGATAAGGTAGGAGTGTCTAATAAAGTGGACAGTGAGTGGACACAGTGTTTAAAAACTCCAGCAGCACTGCTGTGTCTGATCCTCTCGTACCAGCACAACACACACTAACACTGTTACTGCAGTGCTGAGAATGACCCACCACCCAAATAGTACGTGCTCTGTGAGGGTCCATGGGGGTCCTGACCACTGAAGAACAGGGTAAAAGGAGGATAACAAAGTATGCAGAGAAACAGATGGACTACAGTCTGTAATTACAGAACTACAAAGTGCACCTATATAGTAAGTGGAGCTGATAAAATGGGCAATGAGTGTAGAAACAAGGAGGTGGTCATAACGTTATGCTTGATTGTGTATATTACCATGTGATATACTGTCCCTTATGACCTGATGGATTATAATACTCAAATCCAACTTGTATCGTTAGCACAGTTAAAAGATCTTTCCACGTTGAAGCTCTTTCTTTCTCTGGTAAAAAAAAAAATAACAGACAGAGTGAATTTCATTTATAATAATAATAATAATAATAATAATAATAATAATAATAATAATAATAATAATAATTTAGTATTTATTTAGAATCATATAAGAAAATGACACAGATCAAATTAAAAGATAAATACCACGAGTAGAGTTTTAATTAAATTCTAAGTTAAAGAGACACGTTTTTAGATGCTGCTTAAAAGTGTGTACTAAGGTGGACTGTAGCTTGGCTAGTAATTAAGACGCGTGGAGAAGCAGCTCGAACCACACGCGTTATTTTTTACCCACCCGTTTTCCGGCAAAACACTCATCCTGTCCCAGGATTGGCTAGTAACTGTCTCGTGCGTCAGGATTGGATACGGGTTGCCTCCTACCCCAGGATTGGCTATTAGGCTCCCTAATCCTGCGCTGGGATTGCCTAGTAATTTTGTGCTGCTCTAGGATTGGCTGATAGCATCCACGCTCCGGCGTTCATACTCACAAGCGGTCGGATATAATGTACAAGCTGCTAGCCAATCGTAGCACAAGAGGGCGGGGCTTGTCGCAATACGGGTGTGGAAAAAAATACCGCGGTGCTACAATCAGTGCGTTTCTCGCCGTTTTTCGCTCTCTCCACGCTGGGCAGCGCGCTTTTCATCCAGCAGCAAAAATGGAAACCGCCAACCAGGTAGAACGAACCAAACATGTCATGAAACCAAGACCACTAAATAAAAAAGAAAACAAGAGTAAACAGCGTTCCTCCTCTGTTTTTCGCTTTCAGATCGTTTCCCTTGGGACATTTCAGGTGCTGAAAGTGCCTCTGGGGTTTATTCGCCTTTTGGAGTGGGTAAGTACGCATGCCTCTCTGCACTCAAGGCAAGTTGGTGGGAAATAAATACAAACAAAAGCAAAAGAGCAAATTCTCTGTGCTGGGACTGAGTTTAGACCACGCTGCGTGGCTGGATAAGTATTGAAGACGACAGCCATGTTCAGTAATAACAGCGCGCCTCATCCATCATCAGGCTTTGATGCTCCATCATGCAGCGCAGCGAGTATATATAATGCACCGCGGCTGCTGGTCGAACTGGGATGTGTTTTTGGTCTTTAGGCGCATTTGGCACGTTTGACTCCTGCACTGATGTTGAAAAAGTTCCTCTTTGAATGATTGATGTGGTTTGCTACTCCAGCTTCCCCCAAAGCGCGTGAAGAGTCCAGTTTATGGAGAGCAGACAGGTCAGGGTTTATGTAAGACACAATTCTGGCTAGTTTAAAACAGGATACTTATTAGTCTTACTCTCACATAGCCTTCCTCATTATGTAGGCATACCTCATCATCAGCCAGGCATACTGGAAGGTTTGGTGTTTATTTTTATACTAGCTACCTAATCTGTTTGATTGGATCTCTCAATAGGCTACTGCATTTCATAGGCTATGCAGTCTCTCTTATGGGTTGCTTAAATTCTTGCATGGGCTACTACACCACAGGCATGCTATCGCTGAAACGGACTACAACATTTCTTGCATGGGCTACTACATTTTTCTATGGGCAGTGTCTCTCACATTTTACACACTTTTTACATGGGCTACTAAATTTATTCCATGGGCTACTACATCTTTTAAATATGCTACATTATCTTTTACATGGGCTACTAAATCTTTTACACAGGCTACATTATCTTTCACATGGGCTACTACTGCTTTTACACAGGCTACATTATCTTTTACATGGGCTACTAAATCTTTTACACAGGCTACATTATCTTTCACATGGGCTACTACCGCTTTTACACAGGCTACATTATCTTTTACATGGGCTACTAAATCTTTTACACAGGCTACATTATCTTTCACATGGGCTACTACCGCTTTTACACAGGCTACATTATCTTTTACATGGGCTACTAAATCTTTTACACAGGCTACATTATTTTTCACATGGGCTACTACCGCTTTTACACGGGCTACATTATCTTTCACATGGGCTACTACCGCTTTTACACAGGCTACATTATCTTTCACATGGGCTACTACTGCTTTTACACAGGCTACATTATCTTTTACATGGGCTACTAAATCTTTTACACAGGCTACATTATCTTTCACATGGGCTACTACTGCTTTTACACAGGCTACATTATCTTTTACATGGGCTACTAAATCTTTTACACAGGCTACATTATCTTTCACATGGGCTACTACTGCTTTTACACAGGCTACATTATCTTTTACATGGGCTACTAAATCTTTTACACAGGCTACATTATCTTTCACATGGGCTACTACCGCTTTTACACAGGCTACATTATCTTTCACATGGGCTACTACTGCTTTTACACAGGCTACATTATCTTTTACATGGGCTACTAAATCTTTTACACAGGCTACATTATCTTTCACATGGGCTACTACTGCTTTTACACAGGCTACATTATCTTTTACATGGGCTACTAAATCTTTTACACAGGCTACATTATCTTTTACATGGGCTACTAAATCTTTTACACAGGCTACATTATCTTTCACATGGGCTACTAAATCTTTTACACAGGCTACATTATCTTTCACATGGGCTACTACTGCTTTTACACAGGCTACATTATCTTTTACATGGGCTACTAAATCTTTTACACAGGCTACTAAATCTTTTACATGGGCTACTAAATCTTTTACACAGGCTACATTATCTTTCACATGGGCTACTACCGCTTTTACACAGGCTACATTATCTTTTACATGGGCTACTAAATCTTTTACACAGGCTACATTATCTTTCACATGGGCTACTACCGCTTTTACACAGGCTACATTATCTTTTACATGGGCTACTAAATCTTTTACACAGGCTACATTATCTTTCACATGGGCTACTACCGCTTTTACACAGGCTACATTATCTTTTACATGGGCTACTAAATCTTTTACATGGGCTACATTATCTTTTACATGGGCTACTAAATCTTTTACACAGGCTACATTATCTTTCACATGGGCTACTAAATCTTTTACACGGGCTACATTATCTTTTACATGGGCTACTAAATCTTTTACACAGGCTACATTATCTTTCACATGGGCTACTACCGCTTTTACACAGGCTACATTATCTTTCACATGGGCTACTAAATCTTTTACACAGGCTACATTATCTTTCACATGGGCTACTACCGCTTTTACATGGGCTACATTATCTTTCACATGGGCTACTAAATTTATTCCATGAGCTACTACACATTTTACCCAGGTTATGGGATCTGTCTCATGAGCAACAAAATTTCTCGCATGGGCTACATTATCTTTTACAAAAGCTATGTTATCTCTCACACGGGCTACTAAATTTCTTGCATGGGCTACTCCATTTTTTACACAGGCTAGTGAATTTCTCACACAAGCTATTACAATTTTTACATCACTGCATAATCTCTCACATGGGCTACCTCATCTTTGAGAGCAGAAGGATTAGCTGAATAAACGTGACTCAATAATTAAAGACAGAGGATTAACATTTTAATATTGTCAGTTCTCATTTGTCTTTTAGATTTGACTTCTTTGTTTCTTACATGGGCTACTTAATCTTTTGCATGGGATACCCCGTTGGTTCCCAAAGTCAGTCCTGGGGACCCCATGCTCTGCACATTTCTGGGTTTTTTCCTAATGTAACACATCTGATCCAGCACATGAGGAGCTTGTAAATTACTTATTGAAATTAATAAAGTGACTTGAATAGTGTCTTTCCTTATTACTAGATGATCAGTTACTGCAGGAATTGTTTCAGGCTGGGTAATTTAGCCTATTAACGTCTACTTGTCAAAAATGTTTGAATATTTTTGCTTCATTATGTATTCATAGTAGATCATCAGTATGTGCAGTTCAATTAGAGTTTAAAGACTGGCAATATGAAAGCAGACAGAAATACTGACTGTGTGTGTAAGCACGCAAGGTTCCAGTGAGCGAACGTTTAAAAAAGCACAGTGTGTGGGGGGGTGTGCGAGAGTGAGGGAGAGAGAGATTAGCATTCATTGAGCATATTCAGAATTCAGTCTTGTCATATTTAATTACGCATTAAGCAAAAATGTTTAAGGCAACACATCCACTGTGTATGTGTGGTGTGTGTATGTGTGGTGTGTGTGTTGTGTGTGTGTGTGTGTGCGTGTGTGTGTGCGTGTGAGAGCGTGTTTGTTTTTTCATGGTGGGTGTGTAACCACGTGTGCATGAAGGCGTGTGCTTGAGTGTGTTTGTATCTTTGTGCGAGAGGGGGTTGCTGTTGTGCTTGTTTGAAGGGGAATTCCACCCATTTCTCAAAATTTCTACATTATTCAGTAGTGGCGATGGGAACCAGGGGTTGCAATGCCTACAGTGCAAGACTAGCCTTTTTATTTACAATCCAAAACCACCAGTGAACCTACATGTGCCTTCTGAGTTTTTATTTGTACTGCTGATAATGGTAAAATAGTGATAAATCTGAAAAAATGTTTTCTTTGTGGATTATTTTGCCTTAAAACATTCTACATGTACCTCTCTGCCATGAATTTTTACACAATATAGTTTGGGGTGGGGGGAGGGTTGTAATCCCCTAGCCCCCTGGAAATTACACTTATGGTTAATGTGGTTAAAATTCATCTAGATGAACTCGGCACGAAGCAAAATTCATTCAGTCAGTCAATCAACCTTTATTTAAACTTGGGGTACATTTAGGGTGACGCTCGTTTACAGTGTAGACCAGCATTATGCAAACACAAGGGATTAAAATAAAGGTCAATATGAATCTATAATAATAAAAGTGTAACAAAGAAATTGAAATAAAGCAAGCATATAAAAGCATTTAAAGCCGCACTGCTACCAGTCTGAAATACAAGTCAGAGGCATTGGGTCTTATGTTTGTGGGGATTTTAAGGATCGTGTCTTACTTCTTTTCATATTAACATCACAGGCACAGCTCGAAAATAAGGTCCAATTCAATGTTTAGGTCTCAAATGCAAAGTCAACGTTATACTGATGAATATATGATGACAACGGTAGATAATTCACTTACATCTTCAGGAGACACAACCTTCACCGGGTTTTGACTGAATTCTCTTTAAATTCTCTTTCAGTGAGCTCACAATAAGATTCATCCCACTGATGTTATACAGTGTTCTTCCACATGTTGTGTGCAATTACATGTTTCCACCAGAGAGCTCTCCAAATCCCAGGAGCTTACATAGTGTAGCTTTAAAAATGTATAGAAGATAAAATAAAGACAAAATGATGACTAAATCAAAACAGCCAAATGCAATTACTAAGTGGGAAAATTAAAAATAAAAACAAAAATATTAAATGAAATGAATAAAAAAAGATAAAAACTAAAATGGTAATAATGATGAAGTAGTACAAATAATAAAAAATAGTAAAAAAGAGAAAAATAACAGTAGAAAAATGAACAAAATCAATGAAGAAACAACTTTACTTATGTCTGATGTGACTTTGGCTTTAGACTTGCACAGTAACCCGGCCGTGACCCTGACCTTAACATCAACCATGCTGACATCTGCACACACATTTATCCTAAAAGCTGGTGTGGGTTTAGTTAAAGTGTGTGAATGTGCAAGTGTGCGAGTGTGTATATGTGTGTGTGAGACAGGCTGGAGCTTTCACTCTCTGGCACTCTGTCAAAGTGTGGCCAACACGCTTCAAAACAGCTGCAAGCGTCTGCCATGAAGTCAAGCAGAAGCTGCTCTCTGAAGTGTCCTATAGAGTTCCCTGGGTGTGTGGGTGTGTATGTGTCTCATGCTGGAGAATAGAGAAGACATACGTCCTTTTAATTGCTGATGCCACATTTTGAATGGTCAATGTAAATGTCCAGTGACATAG